ACACCTTCTGAGTAAGTTAGAAGAGAGTGCGTAACATCAGACCATGACTTCTCTTTGTTCTCTATATGGCCCTGAAATGTTTAGTTTGAAAAAGCACAAGATATGACCTCTACATGTGGAATACAGTGAATGTGGAAGTTGGCATCCTAGCAGCTCCCAGCCTCCCTGTCCAAGGTCCTGTGTATACAGTTATGAACTCTGTTCTTCCAGCCAACCAAGCAACTTAGCAAAATGTACACGTTGTCCTTTCACAGAATTCCAGATATGCTCCTGAGAGTTCAACTATTGTTTCCAATAAAGCTGGGGGGGGGGGGATCAACTTGTCCAGAAAGTTTTATTAGGGCTAGAATCCCAAATAATGTAAATGCTAGCCAAGAGTTACTATTAATCAAAAACACTATCAATCCTGTGTAACTCCTTCTGTCAACATATCAACCTAATCAATAACAGATATGTTCTCTCCATGCCTCTTTTTCTTAGTGTGAGCTCCCAAACCTGCTGTGAATGAATTTAAAAAATGTTTTACAATCAAAACTGCAAATGTAACCTTGTAACATAAATATGTAGATGATCTCATGCTTGGAGCATCAGAGTTCACTTCAGAAATGCTTTACTTGACAATGAAGCTTTCAAAAATAAGTGTTTTGAGGACTTATTAAAAATATTTTAAAATTTAACCCCTCGCCAGTTCTAAAGCACAGCCATTGAGTCAGTATGGCTGTGTATAACAGCATTATTCTCCTTTACCACAGATGACCTTTTGCACAGTAGATGATATTTGTTGAATAAAGGTCAAAATACTGTGCAAAAATACCCAAATATCATAGATTCTATGCTGCATTCAGCCTCATGGAGACATCACTTTGGTGAAATGCAGCAATAGCTCCAAGAGATAAAACAGGATCTCTTACAGTATAGAGAAATGGAAAGGGAAAAATAAGTTACTGGCGTGTACAAGGAAGTGAGGGGTGAAGTCCACACCACCATTCTGAGGTGGGTTCTTAGACTCCAGACCTGACTCATCTCCTGTGCACACTGCCTGTAAACAGGTGTTGGCACAGGTGTTGTCCATCTCTGTGTCTTCCCACCGCCTCCAGTCTCTCAGCCATTTTGAACTGGCATTGAAAGAGGGGATTTCTAACTGTCTGAGCCACACTGACAGTATTTTGTGTTTTGAAAACATGGATATAGGAATCTGCGGCATCTTGCAGGGTTTGGAGTGTGTTTTCTCAGTTGGAAGATTAGTTGGTTGGATTCTGAGTTGCAAATTGGCAGGACTTGGGCCCAGTTGATGTGTAAAATAGTTCTGTTTAGCTCCACAGTGTTTTTTTTTTTTTCATGTACGTCCATTGAAACCATTTCCAAATATGACAGTTCACATAAAACTTGAAAGTCCCAGCTTCTCTTTTAGAATCTACACCCCCCCATCATAACCGGCATAATTAGCTGTGTTTGTGAGAAATGGGGAGGGTCCTCTACCCATAGCAAGCCCAGCCTCCTTCTCCCACTCTGTCCCTCCCAACCCCTGTGAGTATTTGAATAGGTGAATCATGCAGCACGTGATTTCTATGGACTCTTCAGCCACCAGATTCTATGAAACTGAGTTTGGTTGTTTCCAGGAAAGCAAACTACTGTTAAGGATGGTAGTTGGGCTGGCGCCGCGGCTCGCTTGGCTAATCCTTCACCTGCAGGACTCCGGGTTCTAGTTCCGGTTGGAGCACCGGATTCTGTCCAGGTTGCTCCTCTTCCAATCCAGCTCTCTGCTGTGGCCCGGGAAGGCAGTAGAAGATGGTCCAAGTCCTTGGGCCCTGCACCCGCATGGGAGACCAGGAGAAGCACCTGGCTCCTGGCTTCGGATCAGCGCAGCGTGCCGGCCATAGCGGCCATTGGTGGGTGAACCAACGGAAAAGGAAGACCTTTCTCTCTCTCTCTCTCTCTCTCTCTCTCTCACTGTCTAACTCTGCTTGTCAAAAAAAAAAAAAAAAAAAAAGGATAGTAGTTAAACTACATTATAGATTAAAACAGACTTCTCTTGGATGGCCTGACAACTAAAACACCATTTATAATATAATGGCTGTGTTGTTTGTGGGGACATAGGTACACATATTCATGTAAGTCCTTGTATTTCTTTGAAGAATAAAATAAATTTGATTCTCAAAGATATCTGTGACTTCCTGAATCATGCAGAGATAAAGCTACTCTCCAAGTCTAAATTAAAAGTCCATAAATCACAAAATGCCTTTTTATGTAAAGAGAACATCTTAATTTTGGTACAACATTAAGAAATCATATAGTTTACCTAGAGAATGACTTTAAGCTGACCACTGACTTAATATATAACTACGGCTACTGATGTAGACTGATTTCTAAAACATATTTTCTATGAGTTGGAACATCTTCATATCAAGACAGCCAAAATTATTAGAACATTATTCTGTTCTCACAAAGTTCTAATGAACTTTACAAATCTGTCAGTTGCATATTCTGATTTTAAAAAATACCTAGCCTAATTTGTTTTTCCATTATTTTACATAGCATTAAAGATAGCATTAAAGTATTACCAAAAATGTTATTACCAGTCAACAATACATATTGTATACTTATTAGAAAGTGAATTCATAAAAGCATATTAAAGAAGATAATCACACATGTTAAGTATTATATTTCAAGACACAGACTTACATGAATATTAGAGGAGCTATAGGCAAAGAAAATTTTTTCTCTGAAATCATGCATTTTCAAGGAAATATTTAATTAGTCAATCGTGATGAATCACCAACTGGTGGCCAATGGTGTGATATTGTTTCCTGCTCCAATTGAAAGTAATCTTAAACTTACCTGCACTTGAGATGTTCATTCTTTCATTCATAAAGGTGGATTCTTCTAATTGTCTATAAGATTATTAACAAATTAATCACCACATAGTATTATACTGAAAGGATCACTAACACCCACTTTTTGGCCACAAGTAATTAAGCAAAAAATTACATGCTTAATTATGAGATGATTTAGTATATATGTGGGGACATATGAATTATATTGAGAATATATATATAGAGAAACAATGCTGGTAATAACAGATGACACTTCTTGATAGTGTAAAATACAACATTTCCCCTGCATGTTATTTAACCCTCAAGTTAATAATATATTGAAGATTTTTATCCCATATTAAGGGAGAGGAGTCCAGCGCTCAGAGAGAGGGTGAGTACATCAGCCAGAAACACAGTTATTCAGAGATGGAGCCAGGCTCTTAACCCTGACCTCTGCTTTCCATGATGCAGCTGGCCAGTAGACTCTGACAACAGACATTCCCTTTTAAGATTCTAAGTGTGGAATGTGTATCTTTTATAGACTAGCTTTCCATTTCAGCCATTTCTTAAGTATGTTTTTACTGTATCTAGTCTATCCATACTGAATATAACATACAATCTATGAATAAATTATTTTAAACACATAATCCTCCAACATTGTTCTGAGAACAGGTAGATGCTTCACAGTATCATTCCCATTTGTCAGATCAAAGTCTAATAAAGATTCAATGTGATTTTTAGAAAGGCAAAGAAAAAAGCACCAGCCCCCAAAGCCCAGTTCTAGGCTAATGTTTGCTATAAGTGTTTTCCTCTCTGCCAAATCCTGCAGTGAGCTGATTTCTGTTTTTCAACTTCTTACATTATGTTGCTCTTTTACCCATTGCTTTTGGTTTTATATATTAAGATTCGGCATCAGCATTCACCCTATCTTTTCGCTCCTAATTTTGAGTGTTTCTATCTGATTGCTTTTGACTTTTGTACTTTATGGGCTTTTTCTTCATTTCTGTTTTACCCCGATTATCCAGGAAAGGCTGCATGTATCCTTTGAAAGCTCTGATGTTCTCAATGAAAAGACCTTCTAAATGGCCTTGTTTGTCTCCCATGGAGTTGCATATCATGACTTCAAATGCCTCACTAAAATGTTACCCATTTGGCATCAGTATACAGAAAAGGCTGCACTCTGTGATAAGAAGTGCCGTGGCGCTTCGTAGTGAGAGAATTGAGTTCTTAATGGGAAATGGGGGAATATAATTTCCTCCGATTTAGCTGTTCTTTCAAACTTCACGGTGCTTTTATTCTTGAACTACCCATTTGTAGTGAAAATACCAAAAGAACCAATTAGCAATTAAAATGATGGCCATAGAATTTTGGTCATAGAAGTCTATTAATATTGCTCCTTAAAAAGCTCTTTCCCACAAATGTTCTTTTTTGGCTTCCAAAACAACTACTCCAAGCTCCTACGAGTCAGAACACAGTTTTGTAGAGGAAACAAGTAACAGAGAATAGAGGTGACTAATTGAAACTCTTTGGTTGCCAAACTTCGAGATAGTGTCATTTGTAAGAGGTAGATTTATTCTCTCTCTTTCTTTCCTCTACTTGGCCTAATTCTGATGAGAACCTTGCTGACATGTTATATTTAATGTTCTGGTCCACAGAGAAGAAACGCCTAATGGTAATGCAAAGCTGAATTGATATTCAAATTGTATAGTCAGTTTAGACCCCAAGTGTGCAGCCCCCAGCCCTCCATCAGCTTCCCTGAAGTGTCACTCTAGGACAGGGATGCCACTAGAGGGCAGGGTTTGACTTCTGGACTCAGTGGCCTTCTCCCTGCACGGGGGACCTTGGAGGCACCACCACAGACATCCATCCCTTGAAGCCCTTACAATGAATCTAAAATCTAATTCCCTCTTCCGTTGTATTTGTGCAGAATCCTAGAGTTTGGTCTAGAATGATCTAATACTGCAGACACATAGCTCCCAGTTTCAGAGCTCCTACAAGGCACCCAATGTAACCTTGGACTTTGGAAGGATTATCCAACAGAATTTTATCTTTTGGGGGATCTGTAGTTTTTCAGAGAAAATATCATATGTTGAACAAAAGCCTCCAATAAAATTCATTATACAGCTAATTTATTATATTAAAGATAAGAGCTATAAATTATGAAGGGCTTTTTGTTTTTTTAAAAAAAATAAACTAGGGAACAGAACATCCCAACAGCAGTACAGTGCAGTTTGGATAACCCTTTGTTGTGTGCCCTGTCCTATGCACCATGATATGATGAACAGTATCGCTGCCCACTACCTACCAGGTGCTAGTAACAGCCTCCTCTTTTCCTCCTCTCTTGCAAAAATAAAAAATATCTCCAAACATTGCCAGATGTCCTTGGAGGGCAAAATAACTTCCTCATAAGAAGCACTGGACTGCAGAATAAAGAGATGATCTTCCTCCCCAAAATAAGAAGCCTACAGGGCCTGGAGACATCACTTATAGAATGTCAAAAACATAAGGACGTGCTCTCTAAGTCTATTTCTTCATCTGAAAAATGAGAATAGTGATGTCTTGTAGAAAAGTCAATTAACACAAGCAAGTATTCAATTAATCACAAATGATAAATGTTATTATTACTGGTAAGTCACTATAAACCTTTGCTATGAATCAGATACCAGCAGAAATACAGAATAAAAACTAACTGCAAATTTTATAAGCTTAAATGAGCACTCGGATGTCACTCTGTGTTCAAGTTTCATGGCTAAGAAAATTAAATGGACATTTTCCTCATTGACATAACTAATCATCTCAGTGATGCTGTTTTCCTTTCTGAGAAGGTCAAAGGGCATATTTAGAAACTACATCCCACACATCTGATGAGTAGGTAATGATGCAGAAATAAACTTTTAAGTGCTTTGGGAGGTTTCTATGTGTAAAAAGTCCTATGTAAATATTTTCCAAGAGGACGCTTGAGAATGATTACTCACTTTCACTCTTTAATTTGATTTATAAGCTTTACCCATCTTGCAGGAGATAAGAACCAAAGTTAATTGGGGAGAAAAAATAAATAAATGGTTTCAAACTCCCATTGTCATCATCTGGAACTGAGGAACCGCAAAGATTTTGAAACTTTGAAGGAACTAGGCTGAAGAAGTTCAGCCAAAAATATTTGTTTATAAAAACTAGAGAATGTTAGCTATTTCTAACACAGTGGCTTATCATTTGAAATTTTTGCTGGCTCAAGCGAAATTGTGCTCTCCTATTTCCTACTGTGGGGTTCCCTCCCTAACCACAATTGCTTTTGAATTGGAGGTTTGTAACTCTGTGGACAAGAGCAGAGTCGGCTTAGCTAGCTGGAAGAACAAGAGGAAAGTCTTTATATCTCCTGAAGAAGGGGGAGCACTAACAGGGTGGTTGTGATAGCAGAGTTCAGGAAGAGTAGAGTTGATGTTGACAGTTGCTGACTTGAATGGTTTTGTTGCTGATAATAAAAGCAGAGCTGGCTTGCTGAAAGTGAAGTCGAGAAGTTGCCGAGGAGATGGTGGTCATGGTGTGGCACAGAGTGTTCAAAAATAGGCTCCTGTCTTAGAGAGTTGCTGCTGTATGAGTAATGTGCTGCCGCACCACGTGGTCCTTCTAAGCAGAAACGCTGTCTTTCCATTTTACACACCAAGGGATGCATTTTATTTTACATTTACAGGAGGCACAGTCAGAAGGCAAAAACATGATGCATTATCTTGAAAAAAAGTTCCTTTTTAACTCCTACCCAGACTGCACAGAAATACTGGGAATATATTTTAATTTCAAATCTGATGTGTCACATCTGGTAACTCATTTATTGCTAATGAAGTTTTCGCAGGCAGCAGCAGTGCCTTTATCTCATCTTATTTTTCAGTTGGCAAAATGTTGTTTACCTTTTAGTGGCCCAGCTTCTGTGCCTCTTAGCCCAGGCTGTTTAAATAGAAAGCAGAAGTAGCCTAATGTAGAAAAGAAGAAGAGTGATAAATAATAGTATACAGAGCGGTCTGAATTTTTAATTACAATCAGTGGTGTAGTATCCTAATTTAACTTTAAAATTAGATAGTATTCAAGAGGAATTATCAGAACAGGCAAAACTGTTCAGTCCAAGGAGTTTTTCCCCTCTCTAAGTTTTTCAAATCCTAAATAGTACTTGGTTTCTTCTATTTCTAGTACTCACATGCAGTTTCCCAATATCTCTTATCCAAATTTGCTTACAGGGGAAACATTAGTCATTTACACAACAGTGTAATTTAATAACACCCACAACAAAAGTCCCAGAGCTCTAGGATCTCCTGGTACCCCCACACCCATGATCTCATGTGATATTCCCAGTATTGCTATAATTCAGGCTGCACAGATGTTTGCTACCACATGGTCATGAACATCAGTATCATTATCATCACTGAACATAATGAGTCACATATTAAGGAACAACCAGATATTCCACGATTCATCTTCAGACCTCTCAGTTCCCACCACTAGGCTCTTACCTCTGCCTTGATTCTGGCCCTTCCTGAAATGATTATGGCCCTTCTCCAGGTAGAGCTAGTCCTTGTGTATGGAGGTGAGTATACCGCCCATGCAACTTAAAGGAATTTCAAATACTTGTGAATAGCTACAAAAGTTATCTTACTGGGTGACACCCTGTTGGGCACACCTGCACTACACCAGTCCCGAAGGTCCATAAAAGAAGTGCACAGTTTGGGGCCAGCATTGTGGCAAAGCAGGTTAAGCTGCTGCCTGTGACGCTGGCATCCCGTACGAGCATCAGTTAGTGTCCAGGCTGCTCCACTTCTGATCCAGCACCCTGCTGGGAAAGCAGCAGAGGATGGCCCAAGTGCTTGGGCTCCTGGACCCACATGGGAGACTTGGAAGAAGCTCCTGGTTTCGCTCAAGCCCAGCCTCAGCCACAGTGGCCATTTGGGGAGTGAACCAGCAAATGGAAGACATCTCATTCTCTCTCTCCCTCTTTCTCTGTAACTCCAGTTTTCATTAAATTATAGTGCTGCCTCCCAGAACCTTAACTAGCAGAAACTGAAGTCAGGAAGCATTTGTTTCAGCATTAATCAAGTGCCTTTTATAATTCTTATTATAAAAGCATTGTATAAAATAATCAAAAATACTTCTGCTAAATTAATTATGTTTTAAAATCTCCATTCATTTTTGAAGGTTCGAGCTTCCTCTCATTAAATTCATTTCAATTATTCTTGCATCACAAAAAGGTCACATTTTCAAATGTCTTTATGTTTTCCCAAGACCTCACTTTTTACCTCTACTGATCTGTGAAATAAAAGTGAGAACAGGTGTTGGTATTCCCATTCTAAATATGTTGTAATATTTAAGGAATGACAAAGTGAGAGATTAAATTACCTGTATAAGATTGTGTCTGTGGTCAGTGACAGCTGACTTTGCCAGCTCTCCAGTCCCCTGCTTTCTCTGCAGGATCATTCTGCTGTTTCTCAACTTTTATAACATTCTCATATTTTTAAAAATAATAAAAGAATCATGCATACAAAACTAGGAAAATGATACATATGATAATATCAGATAAAACTCCCCATATAGCATCTGTTTTCTTAGAGAAGAATTTCCATCTAATTATTCAAAAAATAGTACTCCAAATATTAAGTGATGCATTGCTGTGAGGGTCTTTTCTAATACCTTATGTTTTTATCTGGGTAACGGAACCACATAGTTCATGGCTAAACTTCAAAAAGTTGTGTTTTCCCACGAAGAATCTGACAATAGGTTCATTTTGTATGAGTTATTTTAACAATGTCACATCGTGCCTCTGTTATCATAGGACAATGTAATCTTGACTCCCTAATGTCAGGACATGCTTCTGATTTTGATTTTCAACCATGAACCAATCTGTTTGTACCCTTTCACTTTGTGGTGCCATTAAGAAATGCCAAGCTGTGCCTGAGAGGCTTGTAGCCATTGGTCATCAATGGACTAAAACAAGTATTCCAGATGGGACCTGATTAGTCTAGGGTCACAACCAGTTACACCAGTGTTATACTCAGGAACTTCAGAAAGTTCATGGAAAAATGGAATTAACAGATAAGTTAATTTTGGTGCAAAAATTTTTTGAAATCTATTCATATGAGGAGTCTTCACGAAGTTCATGAAAGAATGATACATCAATTTTAAAATTTTCTGCACCAAAGTCTTTCAGTTCCATTTTCCACATAGTTTTTGAGGTGACTTTTTGGAAAACAGTTTTTTTGAATGAGAGTTAATCTTTTACAGAAAAAAAAAAACTGTTACTGTAATAATCTTATGTGGAGTTGCTTTAGTCATCTTGAGTGAAAGGTGAAATTCTTTTCATTTGGTTTTTTTTTTTTTTAATACAGAATCTTTGTATTTTTTAGCATGGGATTCAAACTGTCCCTATAGATTAATATAGAAAGATAGCTAATTTAGTGATATATGTTAATTCTACTTTAGAAAGCTTAGAAACTTTAGTGCTTTGGGGAATTTCATTAAGTATGTGACTGATTCTCTTGAGGATCCCAAGTTCAGAGAAGCAAAGAGACTGATTCAATGTCACCCACCTAGTGAGTGGAAAAGCCAAATTTAGTATGCCATCTCTTCTTTCATATGGTCCAGGACCTGTTTACAGACTATCATTCAAAAAATATCACTCCTACACTCATAACACTGCATGATTCAACTCCTTGGACCACTTCACCTATATGGGAGACCCAGATAAAGCTTCTGGCTCCTAGCTTCAACCTGACCCAGGCCTGGCCATTGCGGCCATTTGGAGAATGAACCAGAGGATGGAAGATCTCTTTCATTCTTTCTTTCCTCTCTCTCTCTCTCTCTCTCTCTCTCTCTTTCTCTAACTCTGCCTTTTAAATAAAGAATAAATAAAATAATTTTAAAATACACAGGCAATTTAAAGCAACATATACAGTATATTGAATATTTACTCATTCTAACTTAATAAAAAATTTTTGACCTGTACATTAAAAACTTCAATCTGAAATGAATTGCTTCATGACCAGTAAAGTAATCTCTAACAAACAACTCATATTTCATTGAGCTTTATAATACTATCATCATTTCTTATGTATACATTATTTTTTTCCTTCTCCTTAGAGTGGGATTTGAGATGAAATAAACAGTTTCTGCTGCTGAGTTAAAATTTCAAGGAAGAAAAAGTTGTCTCACATATGAAATTTGGAGTTTTATTCACAAGTTGGATAAAGCAGCTGTTAGTGATTAAAAAGCCCACATTGATATTGCCTTTTTTATCTACTAAAAAAGAGAAAAGCTTGGAGTGGTCTCTAAGAGCTGCGTTATTAAAAATGAGTTTTCTCCTGCCTTGAGGGCCAAGACGCTCATCTGCTGAAATGTGGTGATGGTCAAGGAGAGAAATTCCAAGTCTAAGAGGAGAAGTGTTCATTTAAGTATAGGATGTCTTCCAAGTTAGGTGTTCTTTTCCTTTTCTCGCAATCTCTGGAGCTGTCCACTCTCCAGGCACCTTCAAAGATGTTCTATGGTCCTTCATACGCAACATGACAAGAATAGTTTCTACTAACAACATGCCAAAGATTTTTAAGCACATTTTTAAAGCATGCTAGACTTGATCACACACAGCTTTCATCACTGCCTGTTTCTCATTTCTTTTTGAAATAAGGTAGAGACAGTCATCACAACTGAACTGTTTAAATCATAGCTTATAATGAGTAGAAACTTTTGGAGTAAAGGGAAGTTTAATTGTAGTTTAGTCTTCTGTTACAAGATTGTAGTCTTGGATAATTCCCAAGAAGCTAAAAATGTGGAATTAACATTTCTCTGTCATGAAATTTATATCCTTATTTAAAGGAAATTCCTTTTAGAAAGCTGGGTTCTTTAAGTTCTTTGGTTTCTTTGGATGAAGCAAAAGGGAGAAGTAGCTGGGAAAGATAGAACATAGCACCACCATCACCACAGCGGGTTACATCTGTTATGTGCAGAATTAAGAAAATGTCTCTTTTCATTTCTTATGAGATCAAACCCCAGTAGATGAGACGGGAAGAGGGCCAAAACCCAATATTTACCATTTAGCCATATCATAAAGCTCCTCATTAAGTTTCAGGAAATTGTCATACTTAATTCATATGACTTAATTTTTAAGGATTTATTTATTTATCTGAAAGGAGGGGAGTGGGGAAGAATCTCCCATCTTCTTGTTCACTCTCCAGATGGCCACAATCACTGGGATTGGGCCAGGCTGAAGCTAGAAGCCAGAAGCTTCTTCCAGGTTTCCCACTTGGGTTGCAAGCAACTTAGCAGGGAGCTGGATCAGAAGTGGGACAGCAAGACATGAACCAGTGCCCATATGGGATGACAGCATCACAGGCAACACTTTACCTGCTAAGCCATAATGCCTGCCCTGACATGATAATTTAATATAATGCTTTGTACTGAGAGAAACATTAGTATAGGAATTGTAAGAATGAACAAAATCATCTCCAGAGAAAGCACTTAATAGAGAGAAGTTAGGCTAGGATTGCTGGCTAAGGGCACAGCATCTGACTTGAAATCAATTTTAGTTAAGTGCCAGGCACTCTGCATTGCTCCCTTCTTCATGGCTACTAAGCTTATCAGTTTATCAGCAGCCTGGAAAGGCTTGGATGCTTCATCAAAATGCATGGCTATTTGAAGTTTATTGGATTCAAGTAATTTTAACTATTATTTGCAAATATTAAACAGGACAACTTCTATTCAAGATGGAGACAATGGACTAAGCAGGCACGGAGAGTCCTCTTCCTACTCTAAACACAAAGTACTGGGTCAAAACTCTAAATAACAGCTGAGACTCATGGGCCAAAGAAGGACTAATCCCAAATCCACAACTGAGATAAAGTTCTAATGACTTTACCAGTATGAAAATCCATGTCACCAGACAAGTACTGCAGGCGAATGCAGCGGCATTTCCTGGATAAAGCTGGGAACTGAAAAATTATTGCCTATCCATGGTCAAAACCTAGAAAACCGGAACAGCCAAAGTTGTAGAGTGGATGGAGGCCCTAATCCATAGTATCTAAAGGAAAGATGGTTGAAAACTAAGCTCTTAAATCAACATCAAAAACTCTTCCATATCCAATGACTGCCACATTTCCAAGCAAAAGTTTCCCGGGCTGCCACCATCCAATCACACCCTTAGTGAAATTAACTCCCACCAAAGATGAGTCCACAAAGATTATGAAAGTAAAAAAGGAAGGCAAATATCATGAAAGAGGATCAACCACCATTGCAACAAATAAAATTTTGATCTGAGGGGTTACAAATAGTAAACCACTTAGGCAGGGGGGTCTTAACATACAAATATTCAAAATGCTTATGGAGATGAAAGAAGAAATAGTCTCCATAAAATGGAAACAGAGGATTAAGAATAAGAATCAGAGAATTTTAATAAGAAACAGGTAGACAACCTACAAATTTAGGCCAAGTTCTGTGAGTCAATGAATTCACAAGTGAATACCGACTAAAAGTTGCATGAGTGGGGTGTTGGAGAGGACGGAACATGTAAGAAGAGAAATAATTACTTTCTAAAGTCTGAATCCTAACATAGGAGCAATAAAGAGAATAGTTTCTGAACAGAATGGTTTTATGAAGCTGCCCAGCACTACAAATGACTTATAAACACTGGTCTTTCCCTCTTATATTTGAGAAAGATAGTTTGATAGAAGATTATACTAAGATATAATTACTTGGTCTTTTAGTTCTTTATTATCATAGGGAACTATGGGATATGTCTTTCTTTAGATTGCAAACTCATTTACAAATGAGCTTGTAATGAACATTGTAATTAGATTGGTTTTGGCTTTTCTAAAAGCTTAAGAAGATATTAATATTCTAATCAAAAGTCTTGGGGAAATATTCTTAGGAAAAAAAGAAAGGAAAATCCTCTTATGCTTGTTTCTAAGAACCAGGGATTCTGTCAAGAAACCCAAGGTAATGTCCACAAAATCAATCAATGAAGTGGTTTGGCCGCAATGAACCCACTCCTGTGTTTGCAACAGACTGAAGGTTCCCACCTGATGCACAACAAATTTGTTCAGCTGCTTAAGATTATTTTTTACTCAGGAGAACAGGAACTTGGAATTTTTAGCCTTTTAATGGAAACAGGAGGAGCTTACTAATTAATGATAATTTTTTTTAAAAAAATATGTTATACTTTCTTGATTCATGGCTATTCTGAGTCAGTGCCTACCTTATATTCAAAAAATAACAATAAAGATTCAAAAAATATTTATCAAATACTATTTGGGAGTTCAGTTCTTTCACTTTATCTTATTTCATTCCAATAATCATGTGCAGTGAAAAATCACTGTTTCCATTTCTAACAGATGAGGAAACTGGGTCTCATGTTTAGAGAAATGTTTTGAGTTACCCAGAGCCAACCAGACTTGTTAGTGCTAAAAGAAATTTCCGTTACAAATCCCTTAACCCCAAACCCATCTTCTTTCCCCACAAGATTGGGGAACCTTTTTTCTGCCAAGGGTCGTTTGGATATGTATAACATCATTTGTGGGCCATACAAAATCATCAACATAAAAATTATCCGGCTATGGATGTATTACATTTTGAACCTGCCTGTGGTTGTCTAGCCAGGGCCGGAACAAATGATTTGCCTGGAGCCAGATGCTCCCCACCCCTGCTCTAAAGGGAGACTGTACAGTAGAATTCATGTGTACCACAGAGGCTGTGTAAAAGTTGTGAGACCCAGAAATAGGAAAAATAGGACGAGAGGGGCCCTCTCATTTTGCCCCTGCTGGAGCAGAAACACAGCATAGAACTATAAATCTACAGCAGCTTTGTGGGACTCACACATTTGGTTTTCCTACAGGGTCATGCATCTCTCCTTCAGCTTCTCCCAAAGACACTGTCCTTTTTGCTCCTGGAGTTTGTTCTTTACACAGTACCCTTTTGCGAAAGGAGGGACACCACCTTTAGAGCATGTGTTCAGCTCTCCGGGGCAGCTGGGCAGACCAGTAGTGCTGATCCTGTAGCTCTTCTTCCCCAGGGCTCATTGTTATATGGAAAGTCACAGCCACATGCAGCTGGGGACCCGCTCCTGGTGGTGCAATAAGTTCTATGTACCCAGCACTCTGTACCACTGCACTGCCCTGCTGTCCTGCCTGTGCCCAGCGCTGGCCTTCACTTCGTAGTGTGACTGTACCACATCCTGTAATGTTACTCTTACAGCATCTTCAGCCTTCTTCCTGGACTTCCTGATGGACACCTACTTGGGAAGAATGCATTGATTTTCTAAATCTCATAAATTGATTGTTAATGAAGTAAAACATGCAGCAACTATTTGGCAAAGGCTTAGCTGAGCTCATTTCTGAACACCTGACTCTACCTAAAACCCTAGAGAACTGCTGCTATCTCAAGCCTTCCCTCTAGACGTGTGTCTGGTTGGCAATCCTGGCCTGATCTATATTCACTTGACATCCTTTCATACAAATGGTGAACCTCATGGACAGCTCCAGAAATGGCCGGCAGGCATGAAGTTTGTGCAGGCACTCTTTTGCTAAAGGAAGATGCCTGGGAAACCATGAGAAAGATGCTCTTGCCCAGTCTGGAGCCCTTCCTCCAGTCCCTCTTAAATCTCCACCCACAGTGACACATTCCTCAGGATCCTAGAGGCAGCTATTCTGGCCACTTAATGGAGGGTGCTGGTAATTTTTATGCCTAAGACTATGAGATGAAACAAGTGATTTATTTAATAAATAAGCTAGGGAGGCTGGCATTTGGTTGCAGCAGTTAAGATGCCATTTTGGGCACCTGCATCCCATATTGGAGGGCCTGGGTTTGAGTCCAGGCTCTGCTCTCCATTCCAACTTCCTGCTAACGTGCACCCTGGAGGGCAGCAGTTGATGGTTTAAATACTAGGGTCCCTGCCACCCATGTGGGAGACCTGGGTGGAGTTCCTGGCTTCTAGGTATTTGGGGAGTGAACTAGAAGATGGGAGTTCTCTATTTCTATCGTTCTACCTCTCTGCTTTTCAAATCAAATGAAAGTAAATACATTTTAAAAAAATAAAGACTAAGGCATAGATGTGTCAGGCTTCTGAGGTTAAAGATAAGTTCATCAGTCTTGCTTACCTCAGGAAAAGCATTCAAGTCTTTCTTAAGATTTGATGATGTCCTTAATTGACATGTAAGTTAAGATATACAACCTAGAGGGGTTGGTCCCATAGGATCCCACTTGCATTTCTCCTGAGGATACTTGGCAGTTCCTACAAAAGCAATATGATCTAAATGGTAAATGTGCAGTCTTGGGCTTTATTTTTTCACAGTGTTTCTTCATAAAACATAATCTCATATCTTTTCCTGAAACTGAAGTTTGGCTAGTAGATTTGTGATGGAGAAATAAAGCTTTAGTTACACCAGGAACTTAATTTTTTGTTTATCTTTTCGTTCTTATTTCCTCCAGCTGCGTTTGATGAGACAAATTCAACCCAGGCCATCAAAATGATGCTCAACTCTTCTACCGAAGATGGTATCAAAAGAATCCAGGATGACTGTCCCAAAGCTGGAAGGCACAATTACATATTTGTCATGATTCCTACTCTGTATAGCATCATCTTTGTGGTGGGAATATTTGGGAACAGCTTGGTGGTGATTGTCATTTACTTTTACATGAAACTCAAGACTGTGGCCAGTGTTTTTCTTTTGAATTTAGCATTGGCTGACTTATGCTTTTTACTGACTTTGCCACTCTGGGCTGTCTACACTGCTATGGAATACCGCTGGCCCTTTGGCAATTACCTGTGTAAGATTGCTTCGGCCAGTGTCAGTTTCAACCTCTATGCCAGTGTATTTCTACTCACGTGTCTCAGCATTGACCGCTACCTGGCTATTGTCCACCCGATGAAGTCTCGCCTTCGACGCACAATGCTTGTAGCCAAAGTCACCTGCATCATTATTTGGCTGCTGGCTGGCTTGGCCAGTTTACCAGCTATCATCCACCGAAACGTATTTTTCATCGAGAACACCAACATCACGGTTTGTGCTTTCCATTACGAGTCCCAAAACTCAACCCTCCCCATAGGGCTAGGCCTGACCAAAAATATACTGGGCTTCCTATTTCCCTTTCTGATCATTCTTACAAGCTACACTCTTATTTGGAAGGCCCTCAAGAAGGCTTACGAGATTCAGAAGAACAAGCCAAGAAATGATGATATTTTTAAGATCATTATGGCAATTGTGCTTTTCTTTTTCTTCTCCTGGGTTCCCCACCAAATATTCACTTTCCTGGATGTGTTGATTCAGCTGGGGGTCATTCACGACTGCAGAATCGCAGATATCGTGGACACTGCCATGCCCATCACCATCTGCATAGCTTATTTTAACAACTGCCTGAATCCCCTTTTTTATGGCTTTCTGGGGAAAAAATTTAAGAAATATTTTCTCCAGCTTCTTAAATATATTCCCCCGAAAGCCAAATCCCATTCAAATCTATCAACAAAGATGAGCACGCTCTCCTACCGCCCCTCAGATAACGTGAGCTCATCCTCCAAGAAGCCCGTGCCCTGCTTTGAGGTTGAGTGACATGTTCAAAACCTGTTGGTGAAGCAACTTTGTCAAAGAAGGAGCCAAAGAAACATTCCTGCACAGCACTGCGCTACCAAATGAGCATTAGCTACTTTTCAGGATGTAAGGAGAAGTTGGATCAATTGGACTGAACCGGCTTGTCTACAGCTCGAACAAAAGCTTTCCTTTTCTTTAGCAACAAAACAAAGCAGAGCCACATTTTGCATTAAATACAAGATGGCTGCTCAAAGAATGATGACAGAAACTGGACAAATGTGTTGATTTCAGAAATTTTGCTGGCGGAAATGCAGTCTCGCCAGTCTTCTCTTGTTCTATTATTTTTGATTTCTATATATAAAGGTATTTAGAGGAAGTGAAATCTACAGAGCAGCAACAGGAGATCACAGTTCAGGATTGTTCTTTCTGCCCAATTTCCAAGGGGCGATGAAGCTTTTATGCCTGTTTAGCCATTAGCAACTGTGACCCACTTGTACCTGCTCCAATGCATTTTGTGCAAAAATCTGCTAAGCAGTAGTTGTCAAGTTTCAGAACCTTTTGTGAAATTCAACCAGAGTCATAAAGATTCACACTGCCAAAATAATGGTGGCAGAATGGCTTCTTGCAAAATGGTGTTACTAAAGTTACGTGTAAGAGTTAAATACTAGCAAAGGTGTCACTCTAGTCCCAGGGAGTTGTGTTCTCCTGGTCATATTAGTCTTATTTCATATCTGATAACTGTATATAGTTTATAGTAAAAAGATTATATATCGTAAAGTATGCCAAGCTGTTTCAACAAAGTATATATTTTACATACACATCTATATGTATCAATGTCGTTAAACTGTTGTTACTTGATTCAAATCTAGCAAAGCTCTATTTACCTTAAATAAAATAATTGTATTGTACTGTATTTAATCTTCATTACTTCAAACAGATGTTGATTTATTTTTAAAATAAGACAACTGTTAATAAATATGAGCAGAGTTTGCTTCTGTTAAATTCTGGTCCAACTGATAATTTAATTCTGTTGGTTCTAGATTCTGTATTCTGCCATTGAAAAGATAAAGAAAACATTTTGCTTGACTGCAAAACACGTCATTCTGAATTTTCCAAAATTTTTTACTTAACAGAAAAATTATTATTTCTTAAAAACTAAAATAGATTGTTTTAGACATAATTTAAGTAATGGAATTTTTCTAATTATACACATGAGCATTGTAGGAAATTTAGATTTAAAAAAGCATAAAAAAATTAGTCATGTTTAGTTTCCCACTCAAAAATGATCACTTTAACATTTGAGTACATTTGTTTTTATTTTTCTGTTTAAATTCTATGTATTTACATACAAAATTATGACATTGAAGTCATAATATGTACAGTACTTTGTATAAAGATTTCCCTTAATGTCATAGTATAGTAGTTTCCTACCCCATTACTTGTTTTCCTAAGCCATTTCAATATGTATATAATATTACAAAATATAGACCATTTTGATATAGTTAGCTAGTCATGATGTTTGACCATTTAAGTTGTTTATGATTTTTCAATATCATGGATTACACTGAGATGAACATTCAAGTATATGCATCTGATAAATTCCTCCTACATCTAGAAGTGGTACAAGTGAGTGTAGAGGCAGGAACATTTTCCATATTCTGAATATATATGTATATATAGAGAGACAAATATTTTTCAGAATACATATAACAATATATAATGCCACCAACTGGGTTTTGCTATATCTGACTACAATATCAACAAAACATGACATTTACTAAATGCAAGCAGCAGGAAGTTTACCATAAGGATTGAAGGGCTATACCAAAGAGTGGGGATGCAACTACACCTGCGGGTCATGCTGACACATTTCTGTGCCTGCTGGGTAACTGTTTTATCCTTTAGCTAGATGCCTTCACTGTTCTTGAAGTCAGCACAGGGCAGGCTGCAGTACTCAACCTGGCCCAGTGAACAAAGGATGGGAGTGATGCATAATGACCTGATGAGCAGGTCTTTCAGAAAGGTCTTGGTGCACTGTGCTGAATTTCCATAAAGCAGCCTGTCATAATTGCATGCCCAAGAATAGAGTTATTTTGTGAATAAATGTCTTACATGTGCCTCCCATATTTTTCTTCTTTATTACTTTTAATTATATTAATATAGTGCTGGCTACTCACTCCAAAGGTTCATAACCATTTTCACAAAGGATCACTTCTAAAAAATAAATTCCAGCTCATTCTAAATTATAAACATATCCAGCTTGAAATCCAACAGGTCAGTTTTATGATAATATTTTAATCCAAACACTTTAAACTTACTGATCAATTTGACCATGTTCCATATCTCATTTTATTTGAACTTAATCTAATTATATAGATCAATGTGATAATAAAGTTGGGAATCTACTTACCAAAATATTAGGATGGATGCCATGAGTTATTACTCATGAACATATTGAAAGGGCCAGCCAACTCCTTATTTTTGGAATGCTTTCAAAATCTATGCAAACAAATATTTTCCAGAGAGACTTGGGTACCCAACAAAATTCAAGTGTAATATAAATGCAGATACAGATATAGCTTCCACTTTTTATTTCCTCATGAACAAATTCATCTTTTCAGTCAAGCATTTATCATGGATTCAGAAAACTTTGTATTGTTTACCTACTCTATGCTGGACAACTGGAGTTCTGTGACAAATTGCTTAGGATGTATGGCAGACATTTCCACCAGCTGCCGGGTGTAGTTGTAGGAGAGCACAGTGAGAACTAGCTTGACTGCCAAGCCATGGAAAGTCTCATAAAGTGTTGAGGCAACTTTTTTTCAATAATACGTGCCAAACTGGGGAGCCAGAGAAGAGGAAACAGATTCAGGTGGTAAGAAAATGAGCCCCAGGGGGTGTTGCATACTTGGCATGAAAGATGAGAACCTGATGGTACAAAGAAAAGTAAATCAGAAGAAAATGAGACACAGAGAGACCACTGCATGGACAGGAAGTTGGAAGCAACTGTCTAGTGCCTCAAAGGCCAGGGTGCAGACCCCCCAGGAGGATGGCACACAGAAGTTTAGGGTTTCCAGTACCACTGGATCCACTGGATCCAAAACAACCAGAAGAAGAGGGAACCCAGCTATTAAGGAGGGAAGCAAGCTAAAAGCAATAGACAAAATTGTATATGGAAAGACTCGACTGTTTTGATTCTGCATATTCCAGGATACATGATAGGAGAAAAAAGTCCCCTGTAGAACAATGCAAGAAGCCTTACACAACACAAAGAATAAATCTAAATGGAACAAGGAAACAAAAGAGGTAGAATACTGGCTTTAATGATCAGAGTTATATGTTTCAAATACAAAATTTTGATTATCAATCAAAATATAACAACAGTAACTTATATCCACTCTTGTCTTTTTGCAGTGGAAACCCATAAGATCATCTACAAAGTGTCCCTTTTCCCTTTATCATGAAAATTTCCCACCTCACCTAAGAACACAACCACTTCAAAAGGTGATATTTTCCTCTTTAATCCCATTCCCATGCCAGTTAACTGGTCCAGGCATGAAGCACACCAATCAGTTTTGCCTAATGATTTTTCAAACAGGTAGAGATGGAGAGTTGGCCCTTAACCAGTGTTGGGATTTGTGAGATGTAAGACTAGGATCTATCAGCAGCAATGCCTCCCATTGTGTGGAGGATGTTGGCCTACCCTAGTGCTGCTGTAGTCCTTGAATCCACCTCCGTCCCAGACACTCCATACTTTGGAATTAGCATCCAGGGCCCCAATCAAGAGATCTGAGTACAATGATCAATAACTAGGATCTTCCGGGTTCTTCCTTCTTGTGATCAAAAAGAATTTTGCTTTTGTAGAAGCCAGCACTTCATCTAAGCTTCTAAGTCCTGGAACTGCTTAGTCTCTATCTTACTAACTAACAGTCATGCGGATTATCCCTCTTTCAAATGTATCCTTATGACAGGATGTGGCCAGGACATCCAATAGTGCATGTGTTTAAAGAGGGAAGAGGTGTGGTGAAATAGGAAGACTGACAGTTAGATGGGATTAGGGTACTATAAAACGTGCTATTGTAGGCCATTAAAAGCAGGGTTGTCACAGTGTAAAAACACTCTTCTCTTGTCTGACCAAATTGGATCATGAAATAATAAGGAAAGAGCTGAAATGAGTATCCTGAATCACCAGAGGGCCCAAACAGATGGCCTGCATGCCACCTGGACCCTCTCCATTCAAAAGGGAGCTGGAAGACCTCTGGATCTCATGGAACCAGTGAGAACAGTATCTCACTGTGCACAAATCCAATGAAAAAAGCCTTCATTTACCAAATCAACCCTCCTTTATGGCAAATGATGTAACCAAGATCCAAAAAGAGTAAATGTCTACATCCAGGAAGAGCCAGGATTAAAATCTTAACTAGGCTTATTTTTGTTTTTGGACAAAAGACAGTAGTTTGGAATGAGAGAATCTAGCTTTAATAATATTGCATCCTAAATAATTCATATACAAGAAAGCTTTGAATAATAACCCTCTATGAATTTAAAGGCTATGACATTTACCCTTCAAAGCAACATGATAGGAAAATACTTACATGCACAAGAAATGTAAATTTGATAAATAAGTAATATTAATTTTGAAACTATTAAAAGCCAGTTTGTTATTATGTTTACTTTGCCTTAAGGATCTAATGTTGATGAGCCAATTTTGCCCCTGGACCCAGTTCTTGACTCTTTCTATCTCCTATTAGGCTTCTTTTGAAAAATCAAACAAGATTAGGAGTAAGGATCTTGGCTGCACCTCCCATTGAGTTGGAATATGTCTCATGGAATTCTTTTCCCATCCTGGGCAAGTTCCACTACACCAAATAAGCTCATACAGGTGCTAAATGGTAATATTTGGAAAATAGGCTCCATTTACCCCAAAATGTCAGGTAGAAAACAAGTTGTTGTTGGCCACCAGGGAGAAACCCTTCTAGAATTCACCACAGAGATGTGGGCAAAGCCCCATGGGTGCAAGTCCCCTGAGCTGATCCACTGAGAATGAGCCAGCTACTGTAACCCAAGAGCCTCCAGGTGTGGATCCACTCTGACTGTGGCCTTTTTCTGGCCATTGACCTTTCAGGGAAGCTTCAGAGAACTGAAAGTGCAGGTAACAAAACACATTAGCCAGAGGCGACACAGGCAGCATTCTAAATAAGTACTAGCTATTCTCATTTTTTACATAGTAAGTAGAAGATAAAGAGAGAGGTGAAAACATTTCCACTGATTATATCATACTTACAGCTGTTGTTTGAGTCCCCCCATCCCATTTGTTCTATCTCCTTCCAGAAATAGCTCCCTATCTCCATTTGCATGCTCACTCAGTGTAGAAACTGGACAGGGCTCCAATCCCATTGCCAACACACCCATGGAAGTTATAACTCCTAAGAAAATCAGCCCACTATATTTTGCTGTTTACAATGCGATGCACAAGCGGCCTAAACAGACCCATTCACAATGGATTTCCTGATTTTTGTCAAAAGCAATCAGGCAAAATGCTTCTTCCTCCTCATTACATGAAACTTACATAGACGTGAGAGGCTGTTGCTGCTATTTTTTCACTCCGAAGGAAAAGGTGGATATTTCTATAAGTTTCCAGAGGGGGATATAAGAATACAAGGAACAAAGTGAAAGACTGGAGAGGAAAGGAATGGAGAGGAACCAAGGCCTTATGACATTCCTTGGGAATGGAGCTTCTGCCAGGAACTAGCACAACCTCCCCAGACTTCTCTGGTCTTCGGCCAAATGAGGATGCATTTCCTGTCAGAATTAGCCACCAAAATCCAATTTGCTGCAAAATCCGTACAGCTATTCTACATCAAATTCTCTGCTATATGCATTATGTCACTTAATCCTCATGACAACCAGTCA